GTGCATTTGTAGAGTATTTATACACCGATTTGAATTGTATTTTGTACTGAATTTATTTTGCTGTATTTTTTATATTTTAATCTTGGACCAAAACTGTCATTCAGGATTAATAAAGTCTCATCTCATCTCATTTTAAATGTTCACTCACTCAGTTCAGAGCACAGCTTCTGTCGGGTCCTATCGCGATATCACACGTAGTCTCGCGATGATACAGTGACAACACGGGCTTGGAGAAGGAGATGGAGAGAGATGAGGTCTGAAAAGGACCAGATGACGGCGGGCAAGGACAAGAGCGTGGTGGAGATTCAGTTCAGGGACATCCCGAGGGACCAGGAGAACATTGCCGGGGGCAACCGACAGAAGGAGGAGAAGAGGGAGGTGTTCACGAAGGTAAGGAGCCGAGTGTTTTCTGTTATGGTGGAAAACAGACATGGAGGAGGAGGAGGAGGAGGAGGAGGAGGCCTGGAGGGAGGTGGGATCACTTCAGCACCTCGGACAGCGGCAGGAGAAACTCACGACAGCTCATTCCCCACATTTCATTCTGACTCTGTTTTAATTCAAAGGTTCATTTATTCTGAAAAGGACGAGATTTAGATGTACAAATTTCCCCCCTGTATTCAGAGAGTAATCAGAGTGTTACGTGATCGTGAGTGAAGCTATAATCTCTGATTCAATCAAATAATATCAAATGAATATCAATATATCTCTGCCATTGGAGTAAATAGAGCCCAAAGTGATACCTGGAAGTGTTTAATATGTCTTTTGTGACATATTATTCTGTTTAAGACCACAACATACAATGGTATTTAATTGTATTTTCCCTTAAGCAGCTTTAAGATTTAAAAAGTTCCTTATCGTCAGACTGTTTTATATCCGCATCAGCTCTATCCAATCCTTTTCTGAGACGAATGAAATATTGCTTTTATTCGTTTCGATGTTTTCTTCAATATTTTGATATTTTGCTTCAGTTAGATTTGGAAAAGACAACATGTAAAGAACAGAAAGGCTAAAACGTAAAGGATCCTCCTTGTAGAAATGTCATGCAGAGAAACATATTGAAATGGTTTGTTGCAGGTGGTGATTCGAAGGCTCCCACCGAACCTGTCAAAAGATCAACTAGAAGAACAGCTCAGTCCGCTGCCGTCCTACGACTATTTTGAGTTCTTCCCAGCTGATCAAAGGTACGATAACCTTTTTAATCTTAAGATGCAGAATCTGTTGGCCTCGTCTTTTTATGAAAACGTTTGTGATTTCTCTTTTTCTGTCTTCCTCTCTCTCTCTGTATAGTCTCTATCCTCATCTGTTCTCCAGAGCATATATCAATTTCAAAAACCCTGAAGATATCTTGCTGTTCAGAGACCGATTTGACGGCTATGTCTTCATCGACAACAAAGGTATTTCTTGACTTCGTTGAAACAGTTTTATTCTGTTGCCACTGTGGTGCCATGAAGGTGGGCACATGGTGTGACCTGTTTCTGCTAAATGAAATACCAACAAAAACATTTTTAATTTATAGCCAGAGGAAAGATTTTAGAGTTTTGTTGCCATTGTAGTCTGTTAAATGATGAGTTGCCTTTTATTTCAATATTCACTAAGGCCAGGAGTATCCTGCGGTTGTAGAGTTTGCCCCCTTCCAGAAGATTTCCAAGAAGAAACTGAAAAAGAAAGATGCTAAAGCTGGAAGCATTGAAGAAGGTATTGAAATCTTGAGGATCTTTTGTCGTTAATTATCAGACATATTTTGCTATAATTTATCTTCTTGGCCCTGAAACGCTGTCAGATCCAGAATACAAGCGGTTCTTGGAGAATTACTCCTGCGATGAGGAGAAGTCTATGGCCAACCCTGAGACTCTGCTGGGGGAGATAGAGGCCAAGACCAGAGAGCTCATAGGTACAGCATCATACACACAGATGATTATTGTCCTGTGAGTCATTATTATAAATGTAATGATGCTAAGTGACTTCTCTCTTTATGGGTACAGCCAAGCGGACGACACCTCTACTAGAGTACATCAAGAATAAGAAAATTGAGAAACAGGTAAGAAAAAAAAATAGTAAATGAAAGAAATGACCTGCAAATTGCTTTGAAAATCAGATTTTTTTTCTTATTGCTAAATCTTATAGAGAATAAGAGAGGAGAAGAGAGAGGAGAGAAGGAGGAGAGAGCTCGAAAAGAAACGGCAAAGGGAGGAGGAGAAGAGAAAGCGGCGAGAGGAGGAGAGACGTAAACGAAAAGAGGCCGAGAAGCAGAAGAAATTGTCTGATAAAGACATAAAAATCAAGGTAACTTCAGAAATAATGTCCAGGCTTGTTTGCTGAATAGTGATTGTTTGAACGATGCACAAGCGCATAGTGATGGAACCTTCCCTGTGTCAACATTCAGCTCCTGAAGAAGAGTGACAGAGACGACGATGTGGATTCAGACAGAATCAAAGACAAGAGTGACACCGGGGAGACGGACAGGGCAAAATGGGAGAAAGCTGGAGGACAAATGAAGTCAAAGGACCCCAAAGAAAAGTAAGGACTGGGACCATATGTTGTACATAGACCTTACTGTGAACCAAGAGATTTCATAACAGCTTTGTATGTTGTTTATGCGATTTCCCCTTTGCCCACTAGAGGTCAGCCTGAGAGCGACAAGGAGCAGAGAGAGCAGCAGCACGGACGCCGGCAGCGAGACAAGGACCATCGAGGGAAAGATGATGAGAGGAAACGACAGCGGCATCACTACGAGTTTGACAAATTTATGCGCCGCAAAGATGAGACCAAGTGGGGGAAGGGCTACTGCCAAGACCGGGCCAAGAAAGAAGGGCACCATCATGGTTTCTCTTACTGTCCAGATGGTGTGGACAAGCTTGGAAAGGAGGACAGGGAGGAGCTGGGTAATCGGAAGGAACGCCTCCGAAACAAGGTGAGCGAGAAGGTGAGCATGAGGTGGGGGCGGGGACGGGGTGGCGACTAAATGCTTTAACTTGTGTTAGGACGCCTTGCTAATGAGTATGAATATGATGTGCTGCCTGTCTCTCCCATGTCCCTGCTCTCTTGTCTCCCTGCAGGACCGTCCCGCCATGCAGCTCTATCAGCCGGGCGCACGCAACCGCAAGCGCATGAGCTCTGGGTGCAAAGGCTATGACTGCATCCCCGTGGGCCCCTCGCCCGAACCCGGGTCAGATCACTGCTTCGAGGTCGTCACTGTGGCCCCGGGGCTGGAGAAGGGGTTCGAGAAAAGCAAAGATGAGCAGTGAGCGGAGTGGACGTTCAGAGGAATTGAGTTATTCAGCTGTTCAGTTGATGGTGACAGGTTGGATCGAGGGAGAAAGCACTTAAAAAGCAAACAGTCATTTTCAACAGTGTTTGTTGTAGCAAAGATATGTTTGATTGTTGCTCAAGGTTTTTATTTTGCTGGAACATGAACATTTTTATGTTAAATCTTTAGAATAAACAGTTTTAAAATGCTGTGAGAAAGATGCAGACAACAGTACACAGGACATTTTCTTCTTCGTGACAGTGCTCAGATGGATTTTTTTTTTAACTGATCACTAGTTTCCTGTTTCATCAAATCCATGTCACATGTGGTCCAGCCATCATCCTGTTTTTGAAGCCTGTGAGAGAAGCTCTCAAGTGCTGCTATTAACAGGTTGACAGTGAATGATTATGAGCCACTTCCCCTGCAACATAACCTGTTTCTCAATCTTTGTAGACTCTCCTGAAACTGATTTATGACAATGTTATTTATTAAGAAATGAAATATAATGTAAGTAGAACTGACAGAGGATGGATATAGAGTATTGAACAGGGGGAAATTCTATGTGCAAAGGTGAATGACTGAGAGGAAGAGTTGTTATTTATTAAAAATACAATGTTGACATATTTTATCACTTTTTCCTCATTTCTCTGTCTTATTACAGTTTTATTCTAAGGTGTCGTTCAACATAAACAAGAATTTGTTTTGTGATCTTTGTACATGAGCCATGAAGAACATGTTCTCTACGTTTCTATGAAGCATTTATTGGAAAATTAAATGGAGGATGTTGGACAGAGGAGTGAAAACAATGAATTTTTAATGCTTTTGCATGGTTTTCTATCAATTCTGTCAATTAATGATAAATCAATGTAAGTCTTATTATCACACCTCTTGTATCATGTGTTTCTCCTTAAAATGTGAGAAAATAAAGCTATTCTACTGTTAAAAGAAACTTAACAGTGTGTTAGTCATTGCAGTAGTTCTGACAGTTTGGGTGAGGCAGCATTTGTCTGCCTGGATTACAAGTTTATAAATTACAAATATGAGTCAGTGACTGTTCATTAGCATTGTAGTGGCTGTAGACAATTCTATCGTCAGCTTTTCTCTTCAGATGTCTGCGTGAGATCACAGTGTTTTGCTGATGCTCTGTCTCTATCATTTAAATCAGAGGGATTTCCCTGAGGTTGTCATTCACACCACCACCAAATAAAGCAGAACTGTTAGAATCAACAGGAGAGCACATGCTGTGAATCGAACAAAGAACTGTATTTTCATCTTGTATTGTATTGTATGTATTATTTTCATAAAAATATTAACTTATTCCAATTTCGCATTTGCTTACTTGTCACAGGTTTTACTCGACACAACTCATGTCTCATTAACAGCAGCACTTTAAATGATAATCAGTGAAAGTAACACCCTTCTGTGTGTCAGTCACTTTTAAGGCTTTTAACAGTTCAGTTTCAATGACGTATAAGAAACAGATTTGTTTCATATAACATTCCTTTAGATTAGTCATCATTTACAGGTGCATCTGAGTAGAGAAGGAAAAGAAGAAGGGGAAAAGAACCACATAGAGACACCACACTGGTGATAACCTGATGTTTGGGGTGGAGGAGTCATACACATGTGCATTTCACAACAGTAACTCCAAGACTGAATCTGATGTGTGGCTATTACTACCGTTGGTGGAATGACGGCTGTCACGTGGTCCATTTCCTCTCTTTCTGGCAACAAGTTAACATGCAGCTTCTCCAACAGTCACAGTATCTGTACCCCCATCTGTAACTGCCGCTCGAGAGCCGTCCTGTTTGCCGACGTTGTAGAGGTGAGTTCTCAAATTTTATTGATGGAAACCACATTTATTTCTGTTGTTGATTTTGATTTGAATTGGGCTGAAATTGTGGCATCAGTTGCTTAATACTTTTTTATAATATTTTTTTTGTGTATTTATGCTTGTGAGTTACAAGTTGAGAACATTGGTCAACATGACATTTTTAAATGACTTCAGGGACCGAATAAAATAAGTAATATTCGCACAGTAAACTTAAATAACTAAAAACCTGATTTATAGATCCAAACCACAATATTACAACCGTGTAGACATAACATGGCTGGAGCGGTGAGTACTTACATAGATATATTTTAAAAGACCAAAGAAGACGTGGTCAGATTACATTAGTAAAAAAAAATCATGTTGGTAGAAAAAACATGATTTTATATATATATAAAAACTATGTGAATTTTGCAATTGCAATTTTTATTGTATTTTATTGTTACGTTATGTGTTTTCTGATTTGTTGTAGTAAAAGTGAGAGCTCTGTCACTCTCACTGTGGGGATTATTGCAGTAGTGGTGTACTTCCTCTCGCAAGACTTCCAGTTGCTAAGTACTCTGCATCTGTCAACTTCACCTCTGTCTGGTTTGCGGTAACCCCCCACCTCGCCCACCCTGTGTGCCACATGTGAGAAAGTGTTGGGGCAGATCGTGATGCCTCTTCATTCCAATCCTTCAATAATAATAACTAATATAACCAATGGCAGTTATGAGTTAACTCCTCCACCTCCACCCAAAAACATTTTTGCATGTGTCGATCAAAGGCACGAGATACCAAGAGCGACAGTTGGCATGCTACCACAGATCAAGTGTATCCCTTTCCTGTGTGAATGCTCCACCCAACACTTGGTGGCCCACACGTAAACAACACAGTGATGAAGTTCTGTCTGTTTTCCACTGATATTAGTCTGTTTTGTAGACTCGCACAAAAGATTGAGGTCAGTGGCACACACCATTTTAGATTAAGTCCAAGTAGTTTCCTTTGGTGATGTCTGATTATCTGTTGTACTTTTTTTACACAATTTAATTTACAACAATCTCGTGATCTGCTCAAATGAAGATATACATGATGTCGCTTTATGTCCACTTTTCCATAACCCTCAGGTAATTTGAGGCCGTTCCGATCCATTCATGATGGAAAACAGCACCAAGTTAGACAACGCCACCCTGTCCCTGCTTCAGAACAGGGACACCAGCATCATCATGTCTCTCATTTATATTGTCGTCACCGTCATTAACCTGGTGGGAAATGGTATCTCCATGTGGCTCCTCCTCTTCCGCACCTGGCCCAAGTCTCCCTCCATCATCTTCATGATCAATCTCACCCTCACGGACTTGGCCCTCGGCGTTGCGCTGCCCTTTCAGATCACCTACCAGCTCCGAGGATACAACTGGGATCTGGGGCCCAAAATGTGCAGGTATTCTTTCTAACAGCAGGACAATGTTGAATTGCCATCAGATGAGAGGAAAAAAGCTGAAGGGGAAAAAGAAACATTGTGGTTTCATGTGGAGTTGAATGTTGGACTATTCCTCACACAGGTCCAACGACTTCTTTGTTTCTTCTCTGGACTCTAAGAATTTGCTTGTCCCCGCCAAGAAATAGTCTTAATAACTAAAAGTCTCACAATGTGTTATTTTTATTTATGTTATGGTTTGATCTATGTTTCCTTTGCAGGATTACACAAAAATTACAAGAGAGATGATTATGAAACTTGGTGGAAGGATGCAGTCTGAACTCAGTAAATTTTAGGGGGCAGATGCAGGATATTTTTTTTAATTTTCATATTTTTTCAACATTGCAAGATCGGGCTTTTTTCCAGACTTGGATCTTGATGATAAAAAGATAATAACACAATGATAGGGAACTGATATTTATGTGAAATAAAGGTGTAATATAAAGGTGTTTTCATCAGGGGGCTGTTTTTTTAGTGCCGTGTTACACAAAAATTGCAGATAATGTTGAATTTATTACCTGTGGACAGAGCAGGACAGTTTCCAGCCTTTGTCCTCGTAGATTCATACTGAAATAAGTGCTGTAGCAATATTCTTAATTAACATTTAGCCAAACAGAAAATAAGTTAATTTCCTTGTATTCCTTAAATGATGAGTTTGCCTTAGCCTGTATGAATCAAACACTCTTCTTCTACATATCCACCCACAGTGTCCTGACCCTCGTCTTCTACACCAACATGTACTGTTCTATCCTGACCATGATGGCCATCGGCATCGACCGCTACCTGGGCATAGCTAGGCCCATGCTGTTCAGACAGACCAGGGAGAGGAAGTCCATCGCTGTCATCAGTTGCCTCCTCATGTGGGCTGTGGTCTTGTGCGTTTTGTGCCCACTGATGACCACAGACCTGACCTACAACCTTCCTGAACAGGGGATCACCACGTGCTTTGACGTGCTGAAGAAAAAAATGCTCCCGACCCCGCTGGCCTGGGCTGCCTTTGTGTTCAGCATCTTTAGCCTCTTCCTCTTCCCTTTCATAGTCACAACTTTCTGCTACGTCAGTGTCATACGCAAACTGGCCACTGTTTCCAAGACAGCCCAGAAAGAGAGAGCGATACGTCTGGCCATTATCGTTCTCCTGGTCTTCACCCTCTGCTTTGCACCCAACAACATTATCCTGATGAGTCATGCTGTGCTGAAAATCTTCTACGGGAAGTCTTTATACAGGGCTTACAAACTGAGCCTCTGTTTCAGCTGCCTGAATAGCTGCCTCGATCCTTTCATCTACTACTTTGCCTCAAAGGAATTCAGACAAAAGCTGAGGGAGATGTTAAACCTGCACAGTGTGAGCAGTATGGACTCCATGAGGCTGGAGAATAAGCAGATTTTGTACTCGGCACAGTTCACTTCAGAAGGTCAAGAGAGAGAAAAATAAAAAGGTGTCTTTGATGCCACGGCACACAACGTCATAGAGCGAGCCAGGGAATGTAAAACAAGAGACAAGAGTGCGGGACGTCAGGAGGGAAGTGAAAGAAAAATGATGTTAAGGGGTTGCCCAGTGTATGACTAACTCTTCCTTATTCTCTTAAAATTTCCAAAATGTTTATACTCTAGTTTTTTCTTTGAAATACATTTGCTTTCACTGTGTCCAAATATAGATATGCTTTAAAAATGTACATTTTGAACATTACTTCTGTTCAAGTCTGTGGTCAGTGATTATCTAGGATTAACTATAGCCTACTCACATATGCTGTAATCCATACACTCCCTTCATCTCTATCAGACATTTTCTCATGTATAAATACTTTAAACATTGACACATTTCTCCATTATGTTACTAACTGTTTCTTCTAGTCAATGTTGTAAATACTGTTATTTTGTGGATCTGTTGCATTTCTGTCTGTTTCTGGTACTTTTCCTGACTCTTGTTGAGGGTTAAGAACAGAAGATGTCGTACCATGATAAGCTCAATGAGACAAAATGTGATTTTTAAATATGGGCTATACAAATAAACTTTGATTGATTTGTTGATAGTTTCCTCTTGTTTCACAACCCTATTTTCATTCTTATTTACAGTGTTCCTCTTCACCAAAATAGAATTATTATCATTATCAAAATTATTATTCGTATTATAATTGGAAGTAGCAGCAGTAGCAGGAGCTTGGATGCTGCTCCTACTCCAACAATCAGTTATCGGTGGACCTGATCTGCAAATGTCTGTACTGTGTTTATCATCGCCAATTCACTGCATTGCACTGTCTCTGTTATTTGTATTTATATTTTATACTTAAAATTTACCGTTCACTGTTTTTGCTACTTTTTTGGCACACAATAGTATATATTTTATATTTCATACCTTTTCTTCTTATACTTCTTTTAATATTTTTCTCCTATTTTCTTAAATTAAGACTTGTTTTTCTATTCAGTGTTTATTGTTGTTTACTTAAATCTGTGTTGATGGGGAGATCGAGAGTCTGAGAAATTTAAATTCCTCAATATGTCTGAGTATGTTTTGCAGAAATTGACAATAAAGCTGACTTTGACTTTGATCATCGAATGATTCAAGTTTCCTTTTATTTCTGTTTAAAAGTGGATCACTTTAATTTATTTAAATTTAATTTAATTTAATTTGTATCATCATCCTCATCATCATCAGAAAAATAGTTTTGCTGCAACAAGTGTGTGATTGGTGGATCCGACGCACACGTTTGACGTCATCACGTGTGCGTCTTGACGCTGTCAGGTCGTTGCAGCAGTTTTGTAAGTTGTGCAGGTGAGTGACGCGTTTCTTCTGTAATTTAACAGTGACGCTGTGAAACATCGAGTTTAATGGTCGTGTTGATTCGGTCGCTTCTTGTTTACGGTGTAAACTCACCGGACAAACGCTCCAGTGACGTTATCTACTGTCAGTACGGCTTTAGCTACGCAAGCTAAAGCTAACACGAGCTAATGCAGCTAAGTTAAAACAAGTGGAGCAGCAGAGCAAGGAGTTATATATATATATATATATATATATATATATATATATGTTGTAGATCATCTGCCTGTAGCCATTCGTTTAACATGATGTCATTTCTGTGCGTAAAGATGACAGCAGCCCTGTTTTCTCATCAAAGGCATTGTTATTGTTGGTATGAGACACAGGAAGCTGCATGTTGTTATTATTAAAAGTTAAAAATATCCTGAGCTGAATGTCCCATAGCCCAAAGAGACTCCTGTCGGTAAGTAGGTGTTATATTAACTATAAATCATGCAAACCCCCACGTTAAAGAAGCTCTACCCAGTGAATGTTAAACATTTTCTCTTGTGTACTTATTCTCTCATCTGATTTGTCGTCCTCCTGATTGATTCGCCTCCTGATAGTTTCAGCTCTGTGGGTCCGTCCTCTGTGTGTGAACAGCTGCAGTCATGTGAGTTTCTGACTTAAATATGCCACATCTGTAACGTTCACCTGTTTGTATGACCTGAGGAGCAGTCGGACGAGAAGGCCACCATGGTGCTGAACCCTGTCATTTCCAAGCTCTCCGGCAAACTGGTCGTGCTGGCCAGTGCCTCTCCCAGGAGACTGGAGATTCTTCGCAATGCGGTAGGTTTCCCTCTGCGTAAACTCATAGGAACTGTTTGTACACTGCAGATACTACATTATACTTAACTTATTTTTACTTTCAAAGTATTTGTTGAATTGAGTTGGAAAAACTGTTTTTTTTTAACAGACTGAATTAAAACTAGCATGGTCGATTTTAAAAAGTCCAAAGTCAGACAGTAAATCTTTCATGAGCTCTTTGAATTACCAGGTGACCTCAGAGCAGTTCAACTCATTCCAGGCTTTTGTTTGCTCCACGTGTGATGTTTGACCTGCAGTACTGCATAAATAGACTAATTTGTACCAGTATGTCTGAGAGGATTATATCGGCCGACTTTTATCGGCCCACATACACATCTGTCGGTCTCTGAAGTGTTTTATCACACGTGGTAAAAAGTTATGCACCTCCCCGTCCATAGCTTTTAAATGGAGCAGCTCACACACTAAAGTAAAGAAACCCTGGGCTGAATGAACGATTCTTTTTTTGTATAATTTTTTTATTGCTTTCCTTCATGTCAGGGTTTACGCTTTGAGGTGGTACCATCCTGGTTTAAAGAAACCCTTGAAAAGGGAATTTTCAGCGCTCCTTATGAGTACGCAGTTGAGACGGCCAAACAGAAAGCCCTGGAGGTGGCCAGGAGGATGCCCTTTGTGAGTCAAGCTATTTTTTTTTTTTTATATCTGACACTATTCATCATATTTTGGCTGTGAAGCTACATGTTCATTACATTATGTGTCTCAATTTGCTTTAGAAACATTTGAAAACTCCAGACATTGTAATTGGAGCAGACACTATTGTGGTAAGAAAGTATTTTATCTGTTAATCGTCTGTAATACACATTTATTGTATGTTTTGTTTTTCTTCACTCTGCATATTGTCTCACGTCCATAGAGTGTGGACGGGATGATTTTAGAGAAGCCAGCGGACAAACATGATGCTTACAGGATGCTGTCGAGGTTGGTGTAAATTCCGTGGTTTCTGTGTACATTGAGATAGTAAAACTGTAGAAACTTAAACTTTTCTCCTTTTCTCAGCTTGAGTGGTAAAGAGCACAGTGTCTTCACTGGTGTTGCAATTGTCCTCTGTCATGAGAAAGAAAGTGAGTCAAAAGTGTATTTTCTTTTGATTCATTCATGTATCAGATCACAATTGAGTCTGATGGAGAATTCCATGGTTCTTTTATAAATGTAATGTACGTGGGAAGGCTTAACTAGCCATTGATAAACTCCCCTGACCTGCAGATGAAGAAGTGGATTACCAGCTGATTGACTTCTTCGAAGAAACAAAGGTGAAGTTTGCTGATCTCTCAGAAGATATGCTGTGGGAGTACATCAATAGTGGTGAACCCATGTGAGTATTAACATTTGAACTTTTCTCATACATAACAGCTATTGATTTCTCCTGGTGAAGTAACATCAGCATAGATTCAGTTCTGTAGGTAATTTCAATGGATTTTGAGCTTCATGAACTTGTTGCTTTTTGGACTTTGACGCCTGACTTTTGGTCCAGCTGTGTTTGTTCCAGCTGTGTTTGCCTTGTGTGCCAGAAAAGCAGTTTTCAGACAAGAACCTGGAAAATGAAGGAGTCAGGTCATGAGGTATAAATTCTGCTGACGTGTTTTTGTTTACAGCACATCGACACAGGCCTTTGTCCTTATTGGCAAAAGCTTTTGAATCTTGTTGTCTTTCCAAGTTGACATACACAATCCACAAATTTGTTTGTTTGTATGATTGTTTGGTTGTTTTTTTCAGTTTCATTTCCGTCTCGGGTTATATCGTTTACACGCCCACATGCTCATTGCGATTGTTTTCCCACATGGGCACATTTTACTAAGTTCCAAGTGACTTGGACATTTTCTTTCTCACTTACAGCCCCTCCATAAATGTTCTGGAAATAACTGAATTTAAGTACATGTCTGAAAGCGGCATCATACAGTGTGTGAACTGTATCGTGTTGTTAGTAAAAAGTCTGCCTCTGTGTGTTAGGGACAAAGCTGGCGGTTATGGTATCCAGGCTCTCGGGGGCATGCTGGTGGAGTACGTCCACGGAGACTTCCTCAATGTCGTAGGGTTCCCCCTCAATCGCTTCTGCAAACAGCTGGACCTTATTTACAACCCCTGTACTTCGTCTTCAGACCAGCAAAGTGCCACCTCAATGCTCACTCAGCCCCCACACAACCTGCCAGATCAGTCCAGGCCGAGTCCCAGCTCTTCAGCCAAAAACAACCCTTCAACCAGCCTCAGACCAAACAGCCCAACTACCAGTCACACACATCACACCCACGACAGCCCTCCATTGAGTCCAGTCCATAAGGTTTGTATGTCTCGGCCTATGAGCACAACCCATCACCTGTTTTGTTCTCATAATTTACAAGAAACCATCAATTTTAAAAGGTGAAAAGGAAAGACGGTATCGGCGAAGTGAATGAGAGTTCTCGGATGTTGGTGAACAGTTTGTCTAAAGACAGAGGTGCTGAGATCATTGACTCTGAGAACACAACATTACCGCTGATCCCCAGCAGAGGGCAGGTGATCGATCTCAATGTGACAGAGCAAGAGGACAGTGAACCTAAAAGAGAGGATCTGCAGAGAATCATTGGACTAATGGATGGATTCAAAGCCTCAAAGGTATTTGGCTTTAAACTATATACTTACACTTAAGCTTTTTTCACTGTGAGATATTTACTTTTAATGATTTCAATTGTTGTAGTTGACCTACTAGAGGGTATAATGAAGTGTTTAGCCTAGCTTAAAGGAGAGGTTTAACATTCGGAAATCAATCCAAGATCAATACCAATCTCATATGAATCCATGATGTTGCAGCCAGAAAAACAAGAACACTTCTGCTTATTAACACCTTTAATCTGTATTAAAACAAAGAGTGCAAAATGAAAAAAAATGTGGTTTTAGGTTTTACAGTATTTCTCGTAATTTGCATTGACTTCCTGTTGCCTGTTGCCTGTCAAGCTCAAGGTGACCACAAGTTTCAAGGCAGTTAAACAAAGCAGCAAAAGATTTAATGTGTTAATTTATAAGATTTTGCCGTGCTGTTTAAAATTCAACAGAATCTATCCACCATGAGTGTAAAGCACCAGTTGCCCCTGATTTTTCAATTGTCTGACATCCTTTGTCACATTGGCATGATGAAAATTTGATTTCTTTCTCTTTATCCATTCTGTGTTTCCAAAAACATGTTCCAGGCATTGTTTACTGCCTCCAAGTTATGTGTGTTTGACCTGCTTCACCGCAGCCCAGGGCTGGATGCAGCACAGATGGCCCAGGAGATCAAAGCCTCCGTGAAGGGGACTGAATGCCTGTTGGAGGCTTGTGTGTCTCTGGGACTGTTGAAGAGCAAAGACAGAAGTTAGTCAGCTCTCAACCCTGTTGATAATTACACGACAATCACTTTTATCTACGTTAAAACAATGAAGCATGTAATACTGAACCTTTCAAATGTCTTATGATGTCTCCCAGCATGCCAAAAGCCTGTGTACGAGAACACAGACCTGTCGGTGCGTTTTTTGCGCTCTGATGCAGCTTATTCTCTGCACGGATACATCCAGCACTGCAACACCACAGTGTGGCCTCTTTTCTCTCACCTTGAGAGTGCTGTGCAGGAGGGTACTAACCAGCATGAGAAGGCCTTTGGTAAAAAAACAAACGATTTGTTCCAGGTGATTAACTTCAAGTTCACCCTCAGATCTGTGCACATTCAAGCAGATAAGATCATGTTCAAAATATTTTACATTTGTCACGTGTTGCTTTTTAAAGGATAATTACTACAACAGTGAAGAAAAGAAACTGAGATTCATGCGTGCCATGCACAGCATTGCCAAAGTTACCGGAAAAGACGTGGCCACAGCCTTTGACCTCTCCACTTTTAAAACGGCCTGTGATCTTGGAGGTAAGGAGACAGTTTTAACGATTAAACTCATTTATTTGAACAATGAATAAGTTCCTCATCTTTTTTTTTTTTCTCTCAAGGATGCACTGGCGCCATGGCCTATGAGTTTACTAAAGCTCACCCTGGGTTGTCTGTGACAGTGTTTGACTTACCTGCTGTTGTTGAGATGAGCGAACATTTCCATCCGCAGCACAAAGACGACAGGGTTTCATTTGTAGAAGGTCAGATAGTTTAACCACACTAAAATAAAGTGACAAATATAAATGGACACTTTCTCATTCTGAGACGCAAACTTTCCCTCGTTTTAATGAGCAGGAGACTTCTTAAAAGACGAGTTGCCCAAAGCAGACCTATACATCCTGGCAAGAATCCTTCATGACTGGTCTGATGAGAAGGTGCACATGCTTCTGAGTAAAATCGGGCAAACATGCACACCAGGTAAGACTTGAAACTTAAAGAAGCTATTTGCATGTTTTTCTGCTGCCACAAATAATTATCCCCAGCCTGTGTGTCTCATCACTTTCTGAGAGCAAGTTACTGGAGCCTCCAGTCTGCTCTGAAGTAGTAGTGCGTGGTGGTTGTCTGGTTTTAACTTCTTGTCTGGTAAACAATGGTTGAAGCGCTTAGCAAGGAACTAACACCTTCCTCTGGCAGGAAATCACATCCGGCTGCAGATAACATTTACATATAGAACCTTTCCAAGTCTTTATTTTTTTGATGAGGTACTTTTACTGATGAGTGAATGTTTTCATAGTATGATGTTTTCATTTTTATAATGAGACTAGTAACTAGCCTTTATTTTCTTCATTTATTCTTCTTGAGATTTATTCAGAAGACAGAATAAATCTAAAGAAATTAAATAAAAGGAGATAAGCAAAACTACAAGTATTGTTCTCTAAAGTTTAACCTCTGCATACGTGTCACACTTGCACCATGCTGCCAGGCTGTGGACTCCTGCTAAGTGAGATCTTCCTGGATGAAGACAGGAGGGGTCCGAGTCGTGGGCTGCTTCAGGCCCTCAGCATGAGCGTGGGGAAACAAAGGAGCGCAGCAGAATACAGTCTGCTATTGAAGAGCCACGGTTTCATCACAGCACACGTCAGACACACTGACAACTTACTGGATGCTATGCTCTGCATCAGAGTGTGACATCACTCACTGGGACTATAGGGATGGTCTTGTAATACACTGAATGTTGTAGCCAAGAATTGTCGAAATCAAAGATGAAGCTCAAGAAAGTTTTTACAATTTTTTGTTTTAATGAGTCATACAAAGATAAATGATCTGTTTATGTTTGAGTTTCTGCAAACGAAATAAATGTTGATTTGTTCATATCTTCCAAGCCATTTTTTTTTTTTTTTTTGATTTCCCCAAACACTAAGGTGTTGAACAATCTCTTGTGTTGGGTCTTAGGATGTGCACTACTCATAGCTGAGACCATGTTGGATCGACTGACACCCTACACTGCTCTGCAGTCTCTGAACATGCTTGTCCAGACTGAGGGAATGGAGAGAACAGAGAGCAAGTACGCAGACATGCTAAGCAAACATGGATTTGGGAACACACGTGTGGTTCACACTAGGAACTTCTTAGATGCTTTTATTGCCATTAAAATGTAGCAAGGGAATCATGCACACAAACGCTTGTGTTTTTTGTTTGTTTTCTTATAATGCAATGTCTCATGAGTTTTAGCTATTGGATCAATGATGGATGATTTTCAATAAAGTAATTCAATGATGAAAAACTCAAATCCTGTCTTCAAAGCGTAAAAGTATCATCGACAAAATGTACTTGAACATCAGATATTTAAGTACACATTATACAGAGTTTTGAAGTTTTACCTTTACAACTGGATTCATAAACACTTAAATGGGTTCTTAAATGTTTAACAAGCATATAAAATTAGTTATTTATTTATTGTGTGTTCCTCCACTGAACTCACCGATTTTTAGTCTATTAGTATTTTGTGCATCCCTCCCACCTGCAGCAGTAATAATGTGTAAAGTGTCTTAATACTGTTGCATGCAATTATCAACAAAACGATGGTAAATCCCCACAACATCTTGCTACTTATCTGATATGATGTGCTGAGAATTGCTGCTGATGTTATTGGTAATCAACCTTTGTATTAGTAATATCCTGCATCTGGTCCAGCTGCTGACTCAGAGCAGCTGCTGTTTGCTGATCTGCATCCATACATCCAAGTATTGCTAACTATGACAACATCCTAGTTTGTTTGATCAGTGCAGTGATACCAGACTCAGTCTAATACAGAGTAAAATCAGAGTTTTAGACAGATTTTTTTCTGCTATCTATCATCTTGGTCACCATTATGTGTCCAGTATGTCAGCAAACAGAACTGTTCAGGAAACCTGCTTGTTGTGAGGACATGTTGCCACTTTTATCCTCTTGCTTCACCAAACTAGTCACTCAGCTTTGCTTTTTGGAAGTACAGATCCTCTTAGCTGGGGTCGGAGAAGCTCACAACATTGAGGCACCGTTTTTCTTGTAACTTAACCGCTGATGGTGCTGCTGGAGTCACATCACTGGATCCCCCTACAGCCCACTGCATTTTAATGTTGGCACAGCAACGGTTGTTCCAGCCAGATGTGATTGGAAAACTGTACCAGTCCAAGGCTTCTTAGTTTTCCTGGGTATGGGATTCATCATGGCCTACTTGGTCACCACATTTCGAGACGCAGAACTTCATGTTATACCTTGAATATCAGTATTAAATTAATGATATAACTGTCACCAGATGGCAGATTTGTTTGGTGGAAACTCTAATTAACATACTGATGATGCATTAGAAACCGAGTTGTCTGGGACCGTTTGGTGTGTTTTAGATTGCTCACTCCAAAAGCACTCAGTCTGTGGTCAGCAGCATGAAGGCTGTGGCTGGTGTGTGTGCATCCTGCCTTTTAAACACTCTGAACTGTCATATTAAGATGATGCAATCTGGATGCAACAGGGCTACGATGATTAAAGAAGAAATAATAACATCTAAGTAGTGTTATCATCTAAATAGGATGTCATTTTGTCATGACTTCATGTGTACTTCAGCTTTGTAAAAGGCTGGAGGACGATGGCCAGTGATGAGGGAGGAAAAGCCTGTTTTTCATGGCGTCCATGTCAAACGTGTTCTTGAGGGATGGGTGGAGTCTTGCTATTCATCTTGTGTGATGGGTTGAGGACATTTTTCTCTGGCAAGCCTCATTCTCCCTTCATGGCAATCTCATACAACCCTCATAACCATGAGATTTAACCTCCCCCTGTGCTCCCACATCAGTTTTGCTGAGTTAAGTCACACAAACTGATAATTAAATCAAAGCGCTGTCTATTGAATCACTTTATTTATTCTATTGCTCCATTTGGCCCGTTAGAGCACAACTCCCCTTTTTTCTCCCACAAGTGATCAAACTCATACTTCATCTCCTCTGACGTTAATCTATCCCAAATTAAAGCTGCGGAGAAAAACACTTTGCATGTCACCATTTTTGCTGTCAGTACATGCAGCCCACCTTCCCAAGTGATATTCGATATCCTCGAAATGTAACCCAGATATTTATTTTCCAGCTGCAGGACGCTTAACTCAGTGCTTCATTTTCCTGCTATGGCAGTGACTCTCCTCAGGGTGGCATCACAAACCTGCTCAGAAAACTTGGACAAACACAGAGTTCCTGTTTTGTTGAAGCTGAGTAATTCTTTCCATTGGAAGCGACTCGGTTTCAAGATATTTTATATATTTGAACATTGAGTGTATGGCGCTTCAGAGTTGATGTTGCCAAGTTTTGTAATTAATTTGTGCTTCATGTGTTTGGTTGGTGATTTAGACTCGATGCAGAGAAGTCTATGACCCCACCCTTCAGTTCCTCATAGATAAACCTTGGATTTCAGTTTTGAAGCAGCAGGTGAAAGCAGCCAAACATTTGACGAGAATGTGGGAATATCTCTGGCCAGGATAAATCGGTTTTATTCTTTGTGACACTGAAAGTGTATCCGGATTACTCTTCATTTTGGATCCCTCTCTAAGTATTTTCCTCGAGGGGTAATAAGGGTGGTCATGTTATTCATGGCTATTTTCTTGTCAGTCCGGGCTCAGGCTCTTTGTGACATCTAACTGATTTCCATGACTCACGTTTTTTTTCTGTCAATGAGGAGAGACAGGGGGAGGTTATTCTGAAGTTCACATATGACAGTGAGCGTAAATCACATACGGTTTGTGTTATTGTTAACACACACTGAATGCATCAAAACACCAAACACTGCAGCACTTTCACGCTACACTGACTGTGAAAGCCTGCATTGATTCATGGCCTCGCACACACGCATGCATTTCTGATCAGTTCTTTTTTTAAGTGACACCAAATGGTTGTGTCAGGCCTGTGAGCTACAGATGAGCATCACGAGTCAAACTGCAGAGTTTATGATGAAGCATTTCCATGGAGGGATTTACATACCCTTGCACATCCAGTGTCCCAGCTGCACCCGTTCACCCTCAAAACGCCTCAACTTTTGTGTACGAGCGTCAACAGCAGAGACTCCGCGAGGGCTTTCTAATGAAAACCATTCAAGTCAATCAAGTTTACCAGAGACCAAAGGCCAGTGTAATTTGGGAAAATTGCTGAAACTCCAAAGTAATCTTATGTAATGTGATCTTGCCTATTGAACACTGGCTGTACTGTACGTGTCGGATAAGAGCTCAGTCATTTTCTTCAAATGCAGACTTGACAAGCAGCATGGATATCCACCTGCAAGTAATCATCATTCTAGTGTTAAGTGCTTTGATATTAAAATGACTGATTTAAGACCATTTGCTGCTTGTAGATAGCGATTTGAAAACACTTCCACATGTTGATAGGGGGGGGATAAGCTGGGTTTGTGAACCGGGAGAACTGCATGTTGTGTTTGCTGTTGCAGAAACAGTGGATGAAAACACGCCAGGGTTTAGTCATGTCCTCAGTTTTCAGTTGAGGCTACAAAGAATGACGCAGAGTACTAACTGCAAAGTTTGATAAGATTCACTCGGTTAATTGCGCTTGTAATGGAAATCTTGTACTTCAGTGAAATCCCATGCCACTTCCAGTTCAGCCACTAGGAGGAATCATTGACTAAAGAATACAGCAGAACTGATTTTATAAAGTTTTACTGTTTGTTGACACTTCTATCAAACTGACAGGAGAGGACAGTCAATTTCATCACTGGGTTTTTTGAAATTTTCCAAATATCCTCGTCAAACTCCGGTTTAATCTTAGTTGAGAAAAATAAACACCATCATTGTTTCAGCCTCTTTGTGACTTTGGGGAAAGGATACGCAGAATCCAAATGATTGCACGCAGAATAACAAACACTCTCTAATCAGTTTTTTGCCGCTCAAACCTGAACTCGTGCGCAGGCACCTGTTTCAAAGCACAGTCTTGTTTATCAAAGTCCTCCTCTGTCAACAAACAGAATAGGCGCAATGATGGCTGGCTCCTCAACTCAAATCTGATTTCAGCAAATGTGCAATTGTTCAAAGTGAGTTGTGCTTCATTGATTTGTTTCAAGGCAGCGGAAAAATAACCCCAGGGCTTCTACTGGTTAGAAATAACAATGGAGTCCTTCTCTGCTGTCTGTAGTTTTCTCCCTTTCTCTCTCGGTGTCTGTTTTCTGGCGTGATATCAGTGGTGGATCAGATTTTCACTGTGGATTTAGCTGCTGGTTGTGACTGTAAAGAATTACTTTTCTGGATCTCCATTGGAATTAGAGCGATGTTCTTTTTGTGTAACAGATCAGTAGATTGTATGCTCAGCCACTTCACTTTAATATGATACTTTGATTGATTTGTCGAATTTAGCTGATTTAAACAAAAGTTTGACACTTTGACCAAAATGATCATTTATTTATTTGTATTTGAAGAGAAGATCTTTACATCACCGTCATGTCTGTGTGCTAACAATGGAGCTGAAGCAACTATTAGCTTAGCTTAACTTAGCAAAGTTACAGCCTGGAAGCAGGGGGGAAACATTTTTGTTGGCTTTGACCAAAGTCTATAAATACACCTTCCATTAATTAATTAATACATTTTTGAGTTATATAAAAAAACACATTAGAACTTTTACAATGTTTTAAAAAGCTTCGTTTTACATTTATTCTAATGTGGATATAAAGAAGTTCTTCAGAAGTAACTGTAATTTTGAACTTAAAATAGGCTTAGTGTTTCTCCATGTCTTCATGCTAAGCTAAGCTATGCTAACCACTTCCTAGCTTAACCTCCACACTCAGTGTACAGATACAGTGGCACAGAGCCAGGCTAGCTGTTTCCATAGGTTTCGAGTCTTTGTGCTAAGCTAATCTTTACTAACGGCCTCCTGACCTCACCTGCGTTCACA